TGTTATTTTTAGCACATCACAAATGTCGACGGCGGCGGTGATCAGTGGAGAGAGAGAGCAAGAGAGAGTTCACGGAGCTGAAGAGTTAGATCCAATGAAATTTTCAAAAAGTGAGAGAGAGAGAGAGACTGGTCACTCTTTTCACTAAACTGTCAGTCAGTCAGCCAGTGAGTCAGTGTTCCAATGAGTGAGGCCTGGCAAACGTGCAGATTATCAAGATCAAGTCAGTGAGTTAGTCAGTCAGTCAGTCAGTCAGTCATCGTCTGTGACGAGGCCAAATGTGCCGAACACACAACGTTGAACTCCTTCATCTCCTTCCCTTCCGTCACCACCACCACAGCCATCAGCTCTGAAGAAATCAATTAATCTCCCGGTGGTGATAATTACCAATTGACTGCTGCTGTTGATCACCACCATCACCACCACCACCTCCATTCAATTACCACTCTTTGATCCACTGACTCGCACTTAGCACTTCATTTCGATTGCACTGCCGACTGACTTCTAATTATCCCGTCGGCACCTTCACTCACGCTAAAGACACAGAGTCTCTCTTTTCACTGGGCACTGATTAGCATTTTCAGGAACAGAAATCAGCAGAGGTGATAGTGGTGGTGATGGTGGCGGTAAAGTCACAATTTTCCAAGTCAATCATCCTGATCTCAGCAGCAGCAGTGTGATCTCTCCGCTGTCCTCCTCAGTGCGACAATGACTCGTCCACCAAATGATCTTCTCTTTCTTTTTCTGCTTCTACTTACCAGTAGCCCTTCGGTGAGCTCCTTTCGCTTCTTCAAGTCACTCTGGCGAAGTGGCAATTCTAGCACTACAATCACCACAACTTCCACAACGATATCACCCCCTCCAATACCAGAGAAGTTCATCTCTTCCAGCACACCTCTTCAACCTGACCCACCTGCCACTTCGACCGTATCTTCCATTCCCCATCTAGCTTTCTACCTAGCCCGTTATCCGCACCTGAATGAGAGCTACCTCGCCGAGCTGGTGACCGCCAGTCCCAATGTGACGGCCCACGTGGAGCGCTTCTCAGCCTCGGATCATCACCCTCACCATCACCCCCATCACCACCACAATGAAACTGATCACCTTCCGTTCCTTGAAGAAGAAGAGGAAGAGCTGTTTCACCACAGTAACGTCACCCTTCACCTTCAACCGGCGCCTCCATCCACGCCTCTGTTGAACATCTCCACCTATTTTGAGATCGGTGGAAGTTCATCAGCCCAATCGAAACCTCCTCCTCCTCTATCACCCCTGACCTCCGATCAGAACCAGGACGACGAGAAGCCCTTCTCCGTGCTGATCACCAACGACAAGACGATGGCCTACCTCCGCTTCGACCTCTCCGGCCGCCATCTGGACGCCTGCACACTGTACGACATTGAAAAGGAGCCAGAGGCGGCCCTCAAGGTCCCCCTCCAAACCGGTCTTCAGCCGCTCACCGCCGACTACAAGACACTGCTCGAGGCGGTCCGCCGGTGTACTGAAATGTCCCGAAAGCAGCTCCAGGCGACGCCCGGCAACGTTCTGGCCACCTCGACGACGACCACTACTTCAACGACCACAACTTCGACAACTTCGACTTCGACAACTCCTTCTCCACTTCCTTCTTTAGGCGGAAATGAAACCTCAATCACCGACTTTCCACCCATCACCTCAAACACCACCGTTTCCGCCAGTCTGATCGGCAAGCCACCTCCTTCGAATAATTCGAGCATCAGCCTGGGAGGTTCCTCCTTTCTTCCCAGTTCGAATTCTAGTAACAGTAATTCAGGAGGTGGTCCCGGCGCCAACTTCATCAGCATGTGGAAGGGCATCGTCCCGGGGACCAAGTGGTGCGGTCTGGGCGACTCTGCCCTCGACTACCACGACCTGGGCGGCAAGGCGGACGTCGACCTGTGCTGTCGGGCGCATGACCACTGTCCGGTACGGCTGAAGGCATTTCGAATGGGCTACGGACTGATCAACTTTTCATTCTATACAAAGTAAGGAGGAAAGAATTGAGGAGTTAAAAATGACCAAATTTTTTCCCTAGGTCTCACTGCGACTGCGACCAGGACTTTCTGCGATGTCTGCAGCTTTCGACCACCAGCTACTCGGCCATGCTGCGCAACTTCTACTTCAACGTGCTCAAGGTGCAGTGCCTGAAGGCCGATCTGGCGCCGCCGGTCTGCGTTAAAAAGAGGTGAGCTTTGCATTCTTGAAGAGATTTTGTACAATTAATCGTTTTCCTAAGCAGAAAAGCGCCCACCAACTCCCGGAAGGAGGAGTGCCTGCAGTACGAGGTCTCCAAGACCACCAAGATGAAGATTGTGCCCTTTGAGTACCCATGATCACCACAACTGACTTTGATTGATTGATTGTCCACCACCACCACTATTTATTTTCTCCCCTCCCGCACAGTAAACTCCCGAATCGGTGATATCATATCATAGGCAAAAATAAGAGGAGGAGGAGGAGGAGGAGGAGGAGGAGGAGGAACATCAATGGGGAGTGTGTGGAGGTGGTAGTGGTGTCATCGATATAGTGCTCTAAGATGATAACAACAACAACAACAACTGGCGTGGATCGTCGGCAAAAGGTGAGAAAAGGTGAAAGAGAGAAAGAAGAGAAGAAGAAGAAAGAGGTGGTTGCGGTAGTGGCTGGGTGTGTGTGTAACAAGAACAAACAAATTAATAATCACGGGTGAGAAAAAGAGAAGAGAAGAGAAGAGAATACAAAAATAGAAGAATCATTTAGGAGGTACAGGAGACGAAGTGAAGGTGAGGTGAAAAGGAAGAAATACAGGGGTAACTGAAGTGCTGAAATGAAGTGATCATCCTCACATCCTTAGATCACTTTTCGTCCACCAACTCCTCCACAAAGGAGGGCGAGGCGTTGGCCTTCGGAGCAATGCCCCCATTAATAATGCTGCTACCTCCATTTCCATTTCCATTGAGGATCGCCTCTGGAGCCGAGTTCTTCCGCGAGGTCTTTCCATTCACTACCACTGCCCCTCCTCCTCCATTAGCAGCAGCAGCACATCCGTTTCCACTTCCGTTTCCGTTTTCAAACTTCAGATTATGGTGGTGATGATGGTGGTGGTGATGACCGTTTCCATTACTTTTTCCACCATCACCCCCACTGGGACAGCGGGACATCGAAGAGAGGTTGTACATGCTGAACTCGGTGTCATGGGTCACCTCGCGGACAATCCCTAAGAAAGGCGGCAGACTGAGCTCCTCGGCGCTGAGCGTCGTGTACGTCTCGAGGATGACCAGGCCGACGCAGCGGCTGTTGCACGGCTGGCGGTAGATGTCCAGCTGAAAGTAGGTCTGCTGCCAGAGAAAGCACCGTCGAACCTTGTAGACAGTGTGGTGGTTGTTGCTGCGCTGCGCCAGCATTGTCTGAGGAAAGAAAAGGAGTTTAAGAAAAAGAGGAGTTCGACCTTCCAAAAGTCTCCCCCAACACTTACCACATAATCCCGGTGGCTAATCTGCCGACGCAGTTCGACCAGCTGCGAACTGCCATCCCGGTCACCGCCGCTTCCCGCCGACCGCCTCACCGTGTGCTGGTAGCTCCAATTGCCGCTCTGCCCTCGCTTCCTCAGCCGCGACTGAATCTTCGGATTGGCTGTGATCAGGTAGTCGTGCACCACGTCAAAGTCCTGGTAGCTGGGAAAGGCCGACTCGGGCGGCAGCGGCGTCCGCACCAGGAACTTNTGAGGCGGTCGCCCGCCTGCAGACCGATCCTCCGACACACCGCCGAGATCATCCGCCGCATCTTCGTGTCAAAGTCGGTGCTGTTGTCCATCACGTCGATGTACGGGTGGCCGACCCAGGCCTCCGCAGTCCGGCGATCCAGCTCCCGTGCCTGCTCCAGCCCCTCCGTCCGGCAGGGATTGTCCTCGCAGTTGTAGTACGCCTCCGCTCCGCTGGCCGAGGTCACCAGATGGACCACCTGATTGTAGCGGTTATCCCGCAGCTCCACCGCATTCCACCCGTTCCCCTTCAGCACCTTCTCCCAGCTCTCCTTGCTCATGTAGGCGGTGGCGTCCATGATGCCCCGGTCGCAGATGACGATGCAATTTTGCTTGCAGGTGCTGGCCAGCGTGAAGAAGGTCCGCTCCATGGCGATCATCACCTTGATCAAGTTCTCCTGGAACTTTTCGCCCTCCTCCTGGGTCATGTCGGGGAAGCGGATGCCGCCGCTGAGGAGGGGGGAGGAGGAGTTAGATGCAAACTCTCACCTTCCCAAACAAAGCATTTCCCCCAGCTCTTACCTAAACAAAGTGGTGGCCGTTTCCGGTACACGGTAGACCTGAGAAGAAAGTGAAAGGAATCGGCGTTAGAATTAATGTAAACACACACACACACATCCCAGTGCTAAAGTGCGTCATCGCAAGTGCACAATGATGATGGTTACGCCATCATCCTTTCTTTTATGGGGCAATAGAGACTACGACAGCGACTTTGGGGGCAATCCAATTCAGTCGATTCATCGTCGGCCACTAAACTAAAACTACAGCTACAGCTTTTGGTTGTAGTATTACAGCAACAACTTTCAATCGAAAACAGCGAAGAATCTCTCTCTTTTTCTCTTTGAAAGTCGACTTCAACAGGCAAATCAATTTCGCCTGCAATACCCCAAAGCTTTGTGTGCCAGGCGGGGTCGATCGTTAATCGACGCTGGCATGTCGACACACACATTCGCAGTCATGAATCAATACCAAACAACGCGAACAAAACAGCCGTACAAGATAGCCGTACAAGAGCCGTACAATAACAACAACAGCAACAAAATAAGCACAGTCACTGGGCCAGTCATTCAGGCACCAGCCATGAATCAACCTCCCAAAATACCCATAAATAAGCCTGGATGAGAAGGGCAGCACAAAACCAAAATCATTCTCATCATTAGATGTGGCATCTTCTAAAGAAGCCAAGTTTGGGCACTCAATAGAAAATCAGATTTATTTTCGGCAAACATTAAGTGCAAAGGAATACGATTCTGGAACGACAATTTTGTGCGCACTACAAATAAACTTCTGATTCAATGAATTCAAGGGCGCGATTCCTCAGAAGGCGCAATAGAAGCAGAAGGAAACGAATAATCTCTCTCCCGGGCTTGATCGAGTTGAAAGTAAAGTAAAGTAATTGCCAATAAATATTAATGCGACTGAGCTACCTAGACACGGGCTAATTATATCAGTAGATCTATCTAAAAGAAGATTCTATGAAATAGAAATGGAAAGCATAAAACAGCAGTAATTAAATAGCGCTTGGTGAGGACAAGCACAGTACTTCGGCAGTCGATTCGATTAGAGAGAAAAATGAGGCACAATTTAGCTCAATAAACGGCAATAATAAACACAGAAAGAAAGAGACACATTGAAATATCGACCAGCAACTTCAACCTGTCAATCGATGGTCGTCCTATCAGCACCATACTGATCATTTCGGCTTTACTATCACAGCTTTCTTTTCTTTCTGTGGTCGGAAAAAACACACAAGGGCTGTTGTAAAAGGCACATGTAAATGCCTGTGACACTCAATTTGGTGAGGGAGCAGTGTGCCACGCACAGGGAGAGAAATTAGATCAGCCTTGCCAGTGAGTGTGTCGGTGTCTTGTTCAGCTAACCTAATTTGCCGCTCGTAATCGGAGAGAAAAGGAAAAGAATGCCAGAGAAAAGAGAGGAATGGGCAATAAAGAAGAAAGGAAAGACAAGAAGCAGACTTTCCGCTTTCTTTCCACTCTTGCTCAATTCCATTCTCTGGAATGGTTTCCCAGGCAATGCTCGGCTCACTCTCTCCAAGGGAATGTGAGCAAAGTGCTCCTCTTTTCCCTCCAACTTTTTCCTCCTAGTCTCGTCCCTTCCCTTCACTGTAATGTGCCTCGTCCTAGCAACACACACTTACGCACTCAATAATCCGAGAAAAACAAACAAATGCACTCAAATGCGAAAATAAAGATCACAGTTCATCCTTCTCGGCTAACCACCACTAAAACAACAGACCCTAACAAATTAGGCACTGAAAGAGCTAGCTAGCCAGGCAAGCCATTAGCATCAGGCAAAGTGCAAGGCCATTCACTATTGGTGGCTGGCAGTGCAGTGGCAGTGCTGATGTCTGCAGTGCCGACAGACAGGAAGCAGAGCCAGTACTCCTCGCCGAAAGCTCTTGCTGCCCAACAGACAGAGAAAGCGAGCGAAGTGGCGACAAAAGGGCGCCAAAAAGGAGGCGCCGGCGGCAGCAGTCGTACACAGTCGGCGAGGAGTACTGGCGCCGGCGAAATTGAAATTGAAAAATACAGCATGCAAAAAGCGTGAAACAAACAAAAAGCGGCACCTACCTTCCAGCCGAGATTTTCGAAGAAGGTGGAGAGTCGCGCCTGGCCGGTGGTCTTGCCGCTGCAGGGGCCTGCAAAGAAGGAAAAGCATTTGGTTAGAGATGAGTTTAATCTGATAAATCTCCTAAACTAGGACATACCGCCGGTAAGGACGAGCCGGTAGACGATGTGCTCATTGGGATTGTTGATGATGCTGGCGCCACCGGTGCTGCGGTGCACCATCGGCGGCACCGTCGTCGAGCTGCGCTTTCGAAACTGTGGAGGTACTGGAGAGCTGTTCAGGGGAAGCAGCTGCTGAGTGGTTGCCCCTGGTGGTGGTGGAGTGGGCGAGCTTCCGTTGGTCTTTCCATTAGTTGTCTTCACGTCAGTTGAACTCGAAGAAGGAGTTGAAGAGGTCGAAGTGGAGGTTGAGGAGGATGAGGAGGAGGAGGAGGAAGGTGGCAAGGCGGATACCTTCTGATGACCACCACTGCCGCCATTGCTAACCACCTTGTCGGGACTCATATTGAATTTGGAAATGGATTTAGAGGAGAAGGGAAAGGAATTCTTAGAGGACAACCCAGAGAGCTCTCTGTCACCGCCGATTCAGGAGAAGATTCAGGAGAGGGCTAGGGACTATTTCACCCTCAAGTGGTGGTAAGACATGAGGACAGAGAAGAGGAGGGTTGAGCAGAGATGACCAACAGTTGGCGGAGAGAGAGAAAGTGAAGACTGAAAGACAACGAGAGGACGGCTTTTCACTAGTGACAAGTAGTGTACACTACTTCAAAAAGGTAATCATCTTCTTCTAGGTCTCGTCTAGGTCCGCTGGGAGATCGATCGCACAGATCTCTCTCCTGGGAGACTTCTTCTTCAGCAAGTTGAGGCCTACAGGAAAAAAAGAAAGAAAAGGGGGTGAGAATTTATAGAAAATAATTTGGAAGCTGGTTATGAATAAATGTCACAAGTGATAGTCAAAAATACAAATTAAACCTTTGCAAAAGAATGAAGACAGTGATGACTGAAAGAAGTCTGATTCTTCAGCACACAACAATTAAAGTGGTGCTCAGCGAAGTGAACCGAGCGAGGTGCGAGCCACGAGTGTGAGTGTCTCGCACGTCGTCTTCAGCTCTTCGTTTTGCAGGCTGCTGATCGCCACGGGCACCGAAAGAACATGCGGCGGCGGCAGAAGCACACACTCTCCGCCAATGGACAGACACAGGCGCACATTTTCTCCTCTTCCCTCTCTCTCTGTGGTTAAAAGGCAGCAAGAGGGAGGAAAGCATGGAAAGCCAACACAACACACAGCAGAAAGAGAAGTGCCGCTCTTGTGCCGCCGCTGTACGACGGTTGGTAATGGGGCAAAGAGAGGCAGAGAAGAGAGGCAGTCGTCGTCGCCGATGACTACCGAAGCCAGCACCGTCACCGTCACGGCATTAGCTAGTGAGCTAGTGTGCTAGCGACCATTCTTGCTACAAAGGCAAAAGCAAAGGAGGGAAAAGAGGGGAAGGAGGCACACTAGAGCACACATGCTGCTGATGCCTGATGCCTGATGGAGTCTGCTCAGTCAGATGGTAAGGGGAGACAAGGGAGAAACGGAAATGCACACAGCACCACTACCAATGCTGAAGAGCACAGAGAATCGAGCATGGATGGTGGTGGTGGTGATGGTCTACTCGTTTTGTTCGCCTTGCTCCACTGACAGCTTGCTATATAGCTCGATGGCAGATGCAGTAAAATGCAGTACCAGTACTAGTCAAGGTTCACACGATGAGTAGAGGAGGACTACTCAGTGAAGAAGAGGTATGAAGAGCATAGCAGTTGATGATGATTATGATGATGGTGATCATCGGTAGATCACCTAGAGAACGAGAGAAAGATCCGACACGGCCTGACTGCCTGTCTGCCTGATCGATCCTCTCCACCAAAAAGTACTAGTTTTTAAAGTGAACTTTAAAGTGAAAAAAGGTTCAATTTTTTAAAACGAAAAATCAGTCGTGATCACCTCGTGAAAAGGTGATCGTCGGTTGTACTTCAGGTGGTGGTGGCGAGGACAGTACTCGAACTGAGGTACACCTACACCACCACACAAGAACACAGGAGTGCATTGACATTCATTACGTGCGAGAGAACGAGCAGTGCACAACTTTCAGGCAATGAGGAAGGTTATCACTGCCAGTCAATCGCAGTCAAGTCAGTAAAGAGAAGAGGACCCTCTCCATATCACAGGAGAAAATCTACAAAAAAACCAAAAGAGGAGGAAGGTAGCATTTTAAAAAGAGGCAGGCAGTTTAAAGTGAAAGTGACACTGTCTGCAGAACAGTGGGCACTGGCAACAGCACAGCAAACAACATTCCCCCAAAGTGCTTGTCAACAGACAACACCGAAGCCATTAGCACACTTACCAAACCGAAGTAGTACCACACCACTGTCGGCGCCCAAACTGGTTGGCTGCTGCTGCTGCTGATGCTTTTGCTGTCCTCTTCAACATCATCAGTGGAAGAATGCTAATTAGGTGTGAGCAGAGACAGCAAACAAACTGGATAAAACTGGAACGGTGGTAATCAGAACTGATGTGTGTTGATGTTGAGTCTGATGATGCTGAACAAGTTCAGTCTTGAGACAAACAATATTCATTGCCATCAAGTACACACCTGAGCTAGGCGTTTATATACACTATTCAAGAAAGAAAGAAAGAAAGTGCAGCCGCTCGTTCTCACATGAGTGAAAGCACATGTGACAACTACGGTGATCGACAAATGAGATTGACAGGTGCAACGACTGACTCACATTCACTCACTGACTGACTGACTCGATTAGAGCATTAGAAATGGCAGCTCCAGTCAACTCGCCAGTTGATGATGGTAGAAGCGCCTGGTAACCGGCAGAAAAAGAAAGAAAGAACGACACAATCTAGTAGTACAGACTAAACAAACGAGGAAAGTGGCTGTCAACAGCAACTGGGGCTGAAAACAAAACGGTCAGCAATTAGGACTGCGGCGGATGGGTGCAAGTGAAGGGCAACTGAGGACCATTTGGAGCACCTCCTGAAACAGCTTATCAGCAGGAGACTGGCAAACAGACTGTCAGGACACTGCGACTTTCATTTTACCCCTCAGTCTCGCTTGTTTAGCTAAGGTAAACAGCATTGCGTGATTCGATTTAGTCTGCTGTTGATGATGATGATGACGACTGTTGTTGAGGGTTATCATAACACATCCAAAAAGAACAAAAATAAGGTACAAATCCTATTGCTAAAAAGAAAAAGAGTCGATGTTTGTACAACACCGATTGATTGATTGACTGGTGATAAGTTAGAGTGAAGCAGTTCAACATCACCAACAGGTTCAAACTGGTCAAGTAGATCTAGTTTGCAACTCGTTGCTCACTCAAGTTGATAAGAGGGAAATGGAGAGCCTTATCAGAGGTATTTCACCTTACTCCACTTTTCTTCAGCAGACTGTGTGCCATCTTTTCTCCATCTGTTCTCCATCAAGTTCAAAGTCGCCAGAAAGGGATGCCATGCTCAAAGAGTGTCACACACTCAATGCGACGCAAGTTGAGTGAAATGTCAGTGAAATCAAGAGAGAGAAAAGGAAAGAGAGAAAGTCTATTTTTAGGTCTATTTTCAGATGTCGCAGAGGAAGGAAGGAAAAAGAGATGGGGCAAGAAAGACAGTTGAGAAGAATATCACTGCTATGTGTTGTACACAACAAAGCAGGTAGTGATGTCGTACAATGTCAGTACAATAGAGAGCATGAAAATAGATGGGATGCCCAACACACAGAATGATCACATGCAAATGCTCACACAAAACAACTCGTCAGTCCTGACAACGACAATCCCCTCTTTCGTCACATTCTGACAAAGGGCGAGAGGGGAGAGAAGGACAGATGGATGACAAAAGACAGACAAACACACAGAGAGAGAAAACAGAAAACAATTCAGCGAGATTGTACAAAATCGAAATTGAGTGGAAATGCTGCCTCTGTGCAGTTGTCGTACTTTCACTCCATCATCTCAGGGGAATCAGCTCAGCTCAGCTCGGGGCAAAACTCGGCTCAAAATGTTTCACCAAAACACCCAAAGCAGAAACCCAAACAGCGAAAAGAATTCGGGAAACAAGTTACCTTTGAGAAGGGAGTTATTTTCCGAGTTGAAGGACGTGTGGAGGTGATGTTTATTCACTGTCTGTTCAATAGGGGAAAAAGGTAGATCATTAGTTGGTTGTCATCTCTCAAAGGTGTTCAGTATTAGAGTACAGACCATATAGACTCGACATCGTAGTAATTGAGTTGCTGAAGACAGTAAGGACGGGTCAAGGAGATTTCTTGCTGAGATTGTTGTTGTTGTTGTTGTTCTATTTGGTGATGATGATGCAGTGGTGCCCTTGCCGTCGTCGGCCAAAGTTGTTGACTCATGGTAGGGTGTTGAGCTGAGCTGAGTTAGGCTTCAAGCGGTGGTGCTGCTAATGCGGATCAAATGCTCCAGAATCAGTGAGGTGCTCTGTAGGAGAGAATATTCAAATTCAGTCGTCTGAATTGAAGTAGAATCGAGTGGATTAGATAGGGCTGGAAGGTGGTAAACAAGAACCACGACGGTGGAGGATTCTGGATGACCCGGACTGGATACGTACTCTGCGGAGGGGCGCCTGGGTGAGATTTACAGCGGCGCTCAACGGCCGGTGCTGCCGCCGGTGAGCGCCACAACAAACCGACCAAGTGCTGTCATCGAGGCTCTCCTTTTCCCGCCCATTCCTGGTCACCCCTCACCTCCGAGTTCGACTGCATTCACCTTAGCATTATCATCATCGAGGTCACCATGAACTCCTGCTCACCAAGTTCCAGGCAAAACTGTACAGCTTTGAAGAAGAGGCGGCGGCGGCGACGACATCATCGGCCACCTCGTCACCGGTCTCTAAATTCCTAGCCCAACTCTTCTCATCTTTCTCGAAGCTTCTGCTGTTTAGATGTGACATGAACTTGAGGCCTCTTCGCCCTTTACACTACTCCATCACAGCGAAGAGAGCTGATGATGATGATTAACTCAGTGCAACTTGGTGGTGATCGTGATGATCAACACGGGGACATCAGGCGCGCCTGATTACACTCACAGGCACTTGTTGTGGCACTGTGAGTGTACTGCTGCTGCTGCCCTCGATGATGATGATGATGATAAAACGCCCACCACCAGCGACAGCTCAACCAGAAAACATCACCACCAGTCATCGAGTTGCACTGCAGCAGCAGCAGTTCACCATCAAAAGCATCATCATCGGCGACGGTCTCGAGAGACCACCACTTTCAGCACTGCTTGCATTGCCTGCATCTCATCTATCGGCGAGAGATAGAACAGCAAATGAAGAAGCCAACGTTTGGTAAGCGCTGACTGCCGCACACGCACGTCGCCGATTCCAAAACGCACGCCGCTGCCTTGCCTGCTCACGCATTGGACGCAGCAGCAGCAGCAGCAGCAGCTCACTCTGCTCCTCACTCTCCTCTTCCACCTCAGTTGGCTGTGGTGAGCCGAGGCAGCAGCATCAGCAGCAGCAGTTCAGTCATTTCACATTCTCCTCAACGTTTTCCAGTCGATTTCGTCACTCCTGAAGACTCAAAGAAGAAGGTGCTCTTCCTCTTGGCGAGCGTGTGCGTGTGCTTGTCTGCCCGTGTCTGCCTGTGTACTGGCAGCAGCTTGCCGAGCACGCCGTCGCCACTTCAAAGACGCCTTCGACGCCGTACGCTCTCTACTTCTTTCTCTCTTTCTCTTTCTCTTTCTCTCAGCCAACATCGACACCAGCAGCAGCAACGTTTACCAGCATCATCAGCACCAACACATCACCCTCCTCGTCGTCATCATCATCATCAGTGTTGGCCTAGCTGTCCTCCTCGAGGTCTTCCGCCTCCTCTTCCTCTTCGAAGATCATCACCTGATCATGGACCTGCTGTCGGCGGCGCTGGACGAGTCCGGCCTCTCGGACTTTCTCTCGCTGTCTCCGGTAAGAGAGAACAATTTAGAACTTTTTTGCCCTTTCTAAATGGCCTCGTTTCTATTTCTTCACCCCCTTAAGACCTTTCTCGAGGGTGACAATCCGGTGACAACGATGGCAATGGCGCCTCCGCCGCCTCCTCTGTCAATGGCGCCGGATACTCCAACATCGCTGTCAACTTCAACTCCCGGAGAACTTCTAGGACAGTTGCAGCCAGTAACTGCAACTCTAACTCCGAATGGTTCACATTTGGCCGCCATTCAGCCTAGTGTAGCTCCCGTTGCCAGCAACACCGTAGTGGTCAAATCGTCGGCAGTGACACCACTCCCAATTGCAGCTATTACCACCAACACTAGCAGCACTTCCACTTCAACCACGACCAGCACCGCCAGCAAAACCACCACCACGACCACCACCACGAAGATCATCAGCCAGCAGATGCTGGCAAGTCTGGCCCGGAACAACCAGGTGCTGAGGCTGGCCAGCGGCCAGCTGCTGCAGCTGAAGCCGGGCACGACGAACCAGCTGCAGACGGTCAGCCTCTCCACGGCCAACGGCGCCCGCCCGGTGAACGGCGCCACCCTGGTCAACGGCAAGAAGGTCATCACCATCAAGATCATGAAGGCGCCCCTCTCCATGACCACCACCAGCACCACCACCGCCGGCACTGCCAACCAGGTGATGGTCGCCACGACGGTCGTCTCCACCTCGGCCACCACCTCGATTACTCCCACTGTGATTTCCACAACGCCCTCCTCCTTCTCCTTGTCTAATGCAGCGCCGATGCTGGTCAACGCAAGTACTGGCGTGCCCATGAACCCAATCATCATTCGGAAGACGACGGCCCAACAGCAGCCACTGCAGCAAATCATCGTCCGGAAGAGTACGCCCCTCGGCGCTGTTCCCTCGGCGCGATTGGCCTTCATTCCCTCTTCTTCTTCGTCCCCTTCTTCTTCTGTGATTGCCACCACCTCCTCCTCAACTGCTCCGCGGATTCTTCAGCTGCAGCAGCAACGGCCAACCATTCGCATTGCAACGCCTGTCGTCGCCTCCACCGTCCCTGCAATTCAAGCGAATCTGCAGCAGCAACAACAACAGCCACCGCCTCCTCCTCCTCCTCCCGCTACGGCCACCTCGCTGATTGGCGCCAACACGGCGGCAGTCACCGGGCGGCGCATCTCTGCGAAGCCCAAATCGAACCCCAACAGTCGGCCGGGCTCGCCGCAGCAAAGTAACAGAAGGGAAGCCTTAAAAAGTGCCCCCAGCGCCGAGGAGCAGGCCGACCGGGCGATCATGCTGGAGGAGGTGAAGCGGCTGCTGGAGGAGCAGGAGGACGAGGAGCTGACCAACCTCGAAACCTTTGCCGACTATATGCCCTCAAAGTGTAAGTGATTCGATTTGGGAGAATTTGTTCTTGTTTTGCTAACCTCTTTTTTCTCTTTTCCTTTAGTGAAAATCGGCAAACGCCACCCCGACCTGATCGTGGAGACGGCCTCCCTTGCCTCCATTCCCCCGCCCGACGTCTACTACCGCCTGGCCATTCCCGACGAGCCCATCGACGAGGGCCGCCTCTCCGCCCTCCAGCTGGAGTCGATCATCTACGCCTCGCAGCAGCACGAGACGACGCTCGCCGACGGCAGCCGCGCCGGTTTCCTCATCGGCGACGGGGCCGGGGTCGGCAAGGGCCGCACCGTAGCGGGCATCATCTACGAGAACTACCTCCGGGGGCGGAAGCGGGCGCTCTGGTTCAGCGTCAGCGCCGACCTGAAGTTTGACGCCGAGCGCGACCTCTACGACATTGGCGCCGGCGCCATTGAGGTCTACCAGCTAAATAAGTTCAAGTACGGCTTCAAGATCAACTCGCCGGAGAATGAGAACGTGCGGAAGGGCGTCGTCTTCAGCACCTACTCCTCGCTGATTGGCGAGTCGACGACGAACCGAGGCCAACTGTTTGCCACCCGCTTCAACCAGATTGTGCAGTGGTGCGGCGAGGACTTTGACGGGCCCATCATCTTCGACGAGTGCCACAAGGCGAAGAACCTCTTTCCCGGTGGAGCGGGCACCCGCCCATCCAAGACCGGCCAGGCGGTGCTGGAGCTGCAGAGGCGCCTGCCGCGGGCGCGCGTCGTCTACGCCTCCGCCACCGGCGCCACCGAGCCGAAGAACATGGGCTACATGACGCGGCTCGGTATCTGGGGCCCGGGGACGCCCTTTGAGGACTTTGCCAGCTTCGTGCAGACGGTGGAGCGGCGGGGCGTCGGGGCCATGGAGCTGGTCGCCATTGACCTGAAGATGCGGGGCATGTACATGGCGCGGCAGCTCAGCTTCAAGGGCGTCACCTTTCGCATTGAGCACGTCCCACTGAGTCGGGAGTTTATCCGCCTCTACAACTGCTGCTGTCGGCTGTGGGTGAGTGCGAAGGCGCGCTTCGAGAAGGCACTGGAGCTGATGGAGGCGGAGACGGCGGTGGCGAAGGCGGTGTGGACGCAGTTCTGGGGCGCCCACCAGCGCTTCTTCAAGTACCTCTGCATTGCCAGCAAGGTCAGATTTGCGGTGGCCTTCGTGAAGGAGGCCCTCCGGGCGAACAAGGCCATTGTCATTGGGCTGCAGTCGACGGGAGAGGCGAGGACGCTGGAGGTGCTGGAGGACAGTGGCGGCGAGTTGAATGACTTTGTGTCGACGGCCAAGTAAGTCCTGAGGAGGTAGGGAGTTTTTTGGCATTTTTTAACTTCATTTTCCTTGTCCTAGGTCGGTCTTTCAGTCGCTGGTGGAGAAGCACTTTCCGGCGCCGAATCGGAAGAAGCTGGCGAAGCTACTGGGCCGCGACACCTCCTTCTTTGAGCAGTTTGGCATCAAGCTGAGCCGCGATGACAACGACCAGATTGTCGTCGGCTCGATGGAGGAGGACGAGGAGGAGCAGACCAGGCAGCAGGGCCTGAAGAAGGCGAGGAGCTTCTTTGAGGCGGAGGCGGCGGAGGTGTCCTCGGGGGAGGATGATGAGGACAGTGATGATGACGACGATTTTATCAGCGTCAGTGAGGAGGAGGAGGATGACTTGATGGCGGGCATCTCCAATGGAGGTGATAATGGCATCGGCGGAGACTCGAGCAGCGACATTGACTCGGACGACCTGGACGCCATTGACGACATCATGGACGAGAAGCTGGGGCTGAAGCGGAAGCGAGGAGGCGGAGGGAAGAAGACCAACGGAAGCGCCTCAAACGCCGTCAAGTTTATGGACATTCTCCTGGGGCCCTCTTCGGCGGCCGCCAAGCGGAAGCGTCGCACCAGGAGGAAGAAGAAGAAGGCGAAGAAGAGGCGGCCCGCGAAGAAGGCCCGAACTGTGCCCGGCGGAAGCTCCCGGGCAGCCGCCGCCGCCGCCAACCGAAGACGATCAAGTATGCGCAACAAGTACGAGAAGTTCTACGCCGGCTTTGACGCCGTCGGCGAGGACGTGGGCGGGTACTGCGAGCGGCTCCGCGACGAGCTGATGCAGCAGCTGGAGAGCTTTGGCGAACGGCTCCCGCCGAACACCCTGGACGAGCTGATTGACGAGCTGGGCGGCCCGGAGGCGGTGGCGGAGATGACCGGGCGGAAGGGCCGGGTGGTGAGCACCGAGGACGGGCAGGTGCACTTTGAGGCACGGGCGGACAATGACGTCAGTCCGGAGATGCTCAACATTCGGGAGAAGCAACGGTTCATGGACGACGAGAAGCGCGTGGCGATCATCTCGGAGGCGGCCAGCTCGGGCATATCGCTGCACGCCGACCGACGGGCGATCAACAAGTGGCGACGGGTGCACATCACCGTGGAGCTGCCGTGGAGTGCCGATCGGGCGATTCAGCAGTTTGGGCGGACGCACCGCTCCAACCAGGTCTCCGCCCCGGAGTACGTCTTTCTCATCTCCAATCTGGCCGGGGAGAAGCGGTTNATTGGAGTCGCTGGGAGCGCTGACGCACGGCGACCGCAGGGCGACCGAGTCTCGCGACCTCTCCCAGTTCAACATTGACACGAAGTACGGGCGACAGGCGCTGGAGATTGTCATGCGGCGGATTGCCCGGCTCGACTCGAAGACGCTGGTCCCCGAGCCGGAGCACTACTCGGGCGAGGACTTTTTCGATGACTGTCGGGAGGGCCTGGCCGGCGTCGGCCTGCTCACCATCTGCCGGCGGACCGGGGCGGTGACGCTGGACAAGGACTATGCGAACATCAACCGCTTCCTCAACCGGCTGCTCGGGCTGGAGGTGGAGCTGCAGAATACGCTCTTTCGGTACTTTAATGACACCATGGAGGCGGTCATTAAGACGGCGAAGAGGTCGGGCAAGTATGATGCCGGCATTATCGGTAAGTGGGCTGTTTTTGAGGGGGAGTTTGGGAGTTTTTGCTGATTATTGTTTGTTTGTTTTGTAGATCTCAGCTCCGAGGTGGGCAATGTGGTCCGGCTGAGCGAGGAGTCCTTCATCCTCAAGTCCGCCTCGGGGGCGGCCAAGATTCAGCTGCACGCGGTGGCCATTGACCGGGGCCTCCCCTATGAGAAGGCACTGAACATGTACAAGCAGGCCCTGCAGGAGGAGGACTACTTTAAGGAGGACGTCGGCTTCTACACTACCGATTCGGTGAGTTTTTTT